ACATGCAGGTTTGGGGGAGTCAGCGGTTTAGTGGCTGGTAGTGACGGCTGTTGTGTCTTCCACCTTTTTATGTCCCCGGCGCTTTATTCAGCTAAGGCATTATCTTGACAGAACTGCTTTGCTGTTGGGCAATAAAATGAGTTACTTCTTGGAATAAAGGTTCTCATAAAAGAATTTGGACAAGAAGATTGTGGTTTATAGAAACTGTAATCTTTATTGAATGACTGGGGTGGTCATGGGGAGAGGGGTTAAATTTATAATTGCTTAAAAGACAAAAAAAAAGTTCAGAATGATTTAAAACTTAGGATACTAACGAATTATGAAAGTGAAAAGTAATAGAGAGACAGGATAATAATGCTGCCCCAGGGTTTAAAAATCTTGGATCTTGATTCTGGTTTTGTTTCAGAGCTATGTGTCCTTGGGTTAATCGCTTAGCTTCTCTGAGCTTCAGTTTTTCTGGCTGTAAAATGGGGTTTTTCAGAGTTGTTTTCACCCTTTTTAAAAAATTTATTTATTTATTTGAGAGTTAGAGTTATAGACAGAGAGAGGTAAAGACAGAGAGAAAGGTCTTCCATCCACTGTTTTACTTCCTAAATGGCCACAACAGCCAGAGTTGGGTCAATCCAAGGGTAGGAGCCAGGAACTTCTTCAGGGTCTCCACATTGGTGCAGGAGCCCAAGTACTTGAGCCATTTTCCACTGCTTGTCCAGCCTATCAGCAGGGAAATTGATTGGAAGTCGAGCAGCCGGGACTTGAACCGGCACCCATATGGGATTCTGGTGCCACAGGCAGAGGCTTAACCTACTATGCCACAGCACTGGCCCCTTTCCAGGGCTTTATAATAGGGTACTCTAAGAAATTCAGATGTTGTCTAGTTTAACCGTTTCAGGATTCTTATGTGGTAGGTACTATTATTATTGTTCCCATTGTACAGATGAAGAAGTCAATGCACGTTGAAGATCAGTAACTTTCCTGAGCCACAGACAAGGCAGCACTTAGATGCAGACAGTCTGCTGGGGTGTGAAATCTCCCCATATGCAGTACTCTTGTAAAACTATCCTAGAGAGAGAATGCTTGGCTAGCCCACATGACTGTGGTACAGAACAGATCAATTAATATTTTTGAAAGGAGTTCTATAAAATAAGAGCTCAACGACAAACATAAAGTGATGTTGTTTCTGACTGATACTAATGGGCCCCTGCTGTGGTCAAAAAATACAACATTCCCTGCAAAACTCATGTTGAAACTTCCTGCTCACTGTAGTGATCTAAGAGTTAGTGCCTTGTGGGGAAGTGGTTAAGCCATGAGAGCTCTGCACTCTTGAGTGAACTGGTACCTTATAAAAGGGCCGGAGGGAACCAGCTTGGGCCCTTTTTGCTCTTCCTTCCAGTCTGTGTGGGAGGACATAATGGCCAATGGCACCATCTTAGAAGCAGAGACCAGGGGCCAGCGCTAGGGTGCAGTGGGTTAATGCCCTGGCCTGAAGTGCCGGCATCCCATATGGGCACTGGTTCAAGTCCCAGCTGCTCCTCTTCTGAACCGGCTCTCTGCCGTGGCCTGGGAAAGCAGTAGAAGATTGTCCAAGTCCTTGGGCCCCTGCACCCACGTGCGAGACCTGGAGGAAGCTCCTGGCCCTGACTTTGGATCGGTGCAGTGCTGGCCATGGGGGCCATTTGGGGAGTGAGCCAATGTAAGGAAGACCTTTCTCTCTGTCTCTCTTTCTCACTGTCTATAACTCTACCTGTCAAATTAAAAAAAAAAAAAACTTACTTAAAGACATAAATAAATAAATCTTTAAAAAAAATTCTAGAATGGCGATGTCTTCAGTGTTGACTGCTCTGGAAAGCTGGTTCTAGATCCCAGGCTCATGGAGCTGGAGAAGTCTAGACCCACAGGGCCAGGTTCTAGATCCGGAAAGCTGCATCACACACACACACACACACACACACATACAAAGGCAGCAGAAACCAGGCTCTCAACAGACATTGAACCTGCAGTATCTTGATCTTGGACTTTCCAGCCTTCGGACCTGTGAGAAAGGAATTTCTATTACTCATAAATTACCAGGTATTTTATTATAGGCTCAGGTATTTTATTATAGATGCACGAAGGAACCAAGACATCTCCTGAATATGTGGATGTGTGCAGTGTCTACTCAACACTGTAGACTCGTGTGCCAAGAAGCCGCTTTGCTGAGTGGGTGTATACGGCTTCTGTATGAAAACATCACATCTTGGAACAACTGAATTTTAGTGTTTTCATTTTGGAGGCTGATGGCTTGAGATCAAGGTGCTGGTGGGACTGTGCTCCCTCGGAGGTGGAGGATCTGTTCTAGACCTCTCCCCTAACTTCTGTTTGCTGCAGGCATTCCTTCATTTGATTTTCTGCTTGTGTCCTCTTGGCCATTTGCTCTCTTTGTCTCTTCACTTTGCCTTTCCTTTGTGCATGTCTGTGTTTGAATTTCTCCCTTTTGTAAGAACAGCATATACTAGATCAAGGCCCATCCCTAAACAACCTCATCTTAACTAGATCATCTGCAAAGCCTGCATTTCCAAATATGATCACATTTACAGATATTGGGTGTTAGGTCTTCAACATTTGGTGGTGGGGGTGAGCGGAGAGGGGGGAACAAAATTTGATGCATAACAATAGATACATGAGGGATGAAATTTGGAATCATGCACTCCAAAGTTCACATCCAACCTCCACCATTTACTAATGCCCAAATGTCTGGACAGTTTCTTTCCTTTTTAAAAAATATTTATTTATTTATGTATTTGAAAGATAGAGTTGCATAGAGGCAGAGGGAGAGAGAGAGAGGCCTTTCATCCTCCACTTCACAACCCAAATGGCAACAACAGCTGGAGCTGTGCTGATCTGAAGCCAGGAGCCAGGAAGTTCTTCTGGGTCTCCCATGCAGGTGCAAGGGCCCAAGGACTTGGGCCATCTTCTACTGCTTTCCCAGGCCATAGAGAGAGCTGGATTGGAAGTGGAGCAGCCAGGGCTCAAACCTGTGCCCATATGGGATGCCGGCACTGCAGGTGGTGGCTTAACCTAGTACACCACAACGCCAGCCCCTAGACCAGTTTCTTATTGCAGCTGTAAGTAGTTAGACATATTTCATGATTTACACACACACACACACATCTTTTTTCCCCCCAGAAACCTTTTATTTAATGTATACATAAATACAACTTTAGGAACGTAGTGATTCTTCCCACCGTACCCGTCCTCCCACCCGTACTCCCACCCTTCTTCCTTCTCCCTCTACTATTGCATTCTTGTTTTTTACTAAATTCTATTTTTAATTTACTTTATATATATAAGATTAATTCTATATTAAGTAAAGAGTTCAACAAATAATATGGGGGAAAAACTGTTCCTCAATAGTCAAGACAAGGGCTTTTCAGTTATCACATCTCAAAGTGTCAATTTCACTTCTATAGATTACCTTTTAGGTGCTCTATTAGTTACCATAAGTCAGCTAGAACATATGATATTTGTCTTCTTGGGACAGGCATGTTTCACTAAGTATAATGTTTTCCAGTTGCATCCATTTTGTTGCAAATGACAGAATTTCATCTTTTTTTTTTTTTTTTAACCACTGTTTGTGTATTCCATAGTGTACATATCCCATAATTTCTTCATCCAGTCTTCAGCTGACAGACATTTTGGTTGATTCCATATCTTAGCTATTGTGAATTGAGCTGCTATAAACGTGAGGGTATGGATAATTCTTTTCATATGCCGATTTCATTTCCCTTTGGTAAATTCCCAGGACTGGGATGGTTGGGTCATATGGTAGGTCTACATTCAGATTTCTGAGGTATCTCCATACCCTCTTCCACAGTAGCTGTACCAGTTTACATTCCCAAAAACAGTGGATTAGGATACACTTTTCCCTGCATCCTTGTCAGCATTTGTTTATTGATTTCTGTATGAAAGCCATTCTAATGGGGGTGGGGTGAAACCTCATTGTGCTTTTGATTTGCGTTTCCCTGATGGCTAGTGATCCTGAGCATTTTTTCATGTGTCTATTGGCCATTTGAATTTCCTCTTTGAAAAATAGCTGGTTAATTCCTTTGCCCATTTCTTAACTGGGTTGTTTTGTTGTTGAGTTTCTTGAGCACTTTATATATTCTGATTATTAATCCTTTATTTGTTGCATAGTCTGCAAATAATTTCTCCCATTCTGTTGTTTAACTCTTTACTGAGTGTTTCTTTTGTAGTGCAGAAGCTTCTAAATTTGATGCAATCCCATTTGTCAATTTTGGCTTCTCTCCTTTTTCTCTCCTCTCATCTCTTCGACAGGCAGAGTGGACAGTGAGAGAGAGAGACAGAGAGAAAGGTCTTCCTTTTCCATTGGTTCACTCTCCAATGGCTGCCGCGGCCAGCGCGCTGCGGCCAGTGCACCACGCTGATCCGATGGCAGGAGCCAGGTACTTATCCTAGTCTCCCATGGGGTGCAGGGCCCAAGGACTTGGGCCATCCTCCACTGCACTCCCTGGCCACAGCAGAGAGCTGGCCTGGAAGAGGGCAACCGGCACAGAATCTGGCGCTCCGACCGGGACTAGAACCTGGTGTGCCGGCGATGCAAGCAAGGTGGAGGATTAGCCTAGTGAGCCGCGGCGCCGGCCTAATTTTGGCTTTGATTGTGCTTCTGGCATCTTTTCCAAGAGCTCTTTGCCTATGCCTTGCAGAGTTTCCCCAATGTTCTCTAATTATTTGATGGTATTGGGTTGTGGATTTACTTCTGCAACACATATTATCTTATTGTTGTAGACATCAGAAACCTGAAATAGGTCCTATGGAGACTAAAATCACGTAGAGATAGTTCCTATGTGGAGGGCTGCTGGTTCCAAGTTCCCTACCCTTCTACTTCTAGAGGTTACCTGTGTTCCTTAGCTCACAGCCACTGCTTACATCTTCAGAGCCAGTAATATAAAGTTTTCAAATATTTCTCTGAGTTTGACCTTCTCCCTCCTCTTCCATCTTTTCAGGATCCCTTGTGATTACACTGGACCCACCTGATAAAATAAGCAGTGTTATTTCCCCGTGTCAAGGTCCTAAGCTTAATCATATCTGTGAAGTCTTTTGCCACAGTAAGTAGAATATAAACAGGTTCTAGGATTAGGGTCTGGACATCTTTGGGGAGAATTATTTTGCTGCCCACAGTGGCTGCCCTAAGTCCTCTCTATAAATTGGGAACCTCCGCGGTTTTATTCCATGGTGTTGTTAAGAAGGTTCAAACATGTCATTTTTGTGGAACACTCAGCTCAGGGCAAACAGCTCATGTATTAGAAATTAATATTATCACCAATTTCATCTTATCATGTTCTAATAGAAAACTTTCTTTTTAAATTCTTTTAAGTGGTGGGGATATTGTGCTAATATTTCTGCTGCATGTTTGAATCCAAAGAAAAATATAGATATTCTGTTGTCTGAGCAATCAGTAGAAGTACATGCACCTAATGAGGGGTTAGTGGACTAGGAGGCAGCTTGAACAACATTTTCATTGCTCATAGAACAGCCCTTTTGGATTGCTCTTCAATCAAGTGGCACTTACTAGAGATCATTCTTGGGAAAACAGCCAATTTAATTTGGCAATCTTAATACAGTTAAATATTCCATTTTTAGGCACCTTAATGTTTAAGACATTTTAATGACCACTGTAACACTTACTCTATCACCTTGCAATCCCTATTCTCAATTTAAATCTTTTTAGAGTATTTAATGTGTCTTATGTAAGCAGCCTAAAGCTGTACCAATAGAATGGAATAGTAAAAATTATTATCTTTTTATAACTACAATAACAATATAAATAATTGAAGAATACTTTATAGTTTTACAAAAGCTTTTCTCATAGACTATCAAATAAATGACTGATTTGATGATTACACAAGCATTCTAGTATGTGGATGTTCTGACACCGGCCTTGGAATGAGACTGATGTGCTTTCTAATCCTTTCATTGTGCTGTGTGAACTTCAACTTGAACCAAGTCACAGACCCTTCCTAAGACTGTTCCCTCATGTCAAATGACAAATCATATCACCCTGTTAGGGTTATATAATAAGCCAGTACCCGCAAAGCTCTCAGTTCAGAGACAGATACAACTCTGTAACCAATACATTTTGACTCTTGTTACCGTTGCTATTATTATTTAAAGATATGTTAAAATAAAGGTTGTCTAGGCCTAATTCAGCTGCGTGCTCACATTGATAGAGGCTGCAGGCCAAAGTGAGGTGTAACTCCCCAAGCAAGACTTGCAGAAAGAGATGAGCAAACTACTCGGGGGATGACCCACCCCTCACTGTTCACCTACAGTGTCTAATAGGATTGGAATGAGGAACAAAGGGAGAGGAGGTGAAAAGCAGCCTGGTGGAGGGTGTTGCTAGTGTGGGTGAGTCTCTCCTAGAGGCAGAAGGGTGGGGAGCTTCACTTGGGGTTCAGAGAGAGGGATTGGAAGGAGTCTCCCCAAGACTGCAACATGTGACTCTGGTATCTTGGCAGAAACTGAAAGACCGATGCATGACTCATTTCCAGAACCCCAGAATGTGGGAGACTGAAGAGCTAGTTGCTCAGAGAATGGATTGAAGGATAAACTGCTGTTGTTCTGGGGATGGTTACACTTTGAGTATTTCTCTGGGAAAAAACAAACAAACAGCAAACTGGGCCTGTGGAGCAGATATCTTGGGGCCATGCTCCAGAATGAGCCAGTTAGGCCTAGGCTGTCACAGGTCCTGAGCAAGATGGCCACTAGAAGGTGAGGGACTGACAAAGGGGAGAGGGTGGGCTATGGATTTCCAGAGGCTGAAGAAGATCCGTAAGTGCCAGCAGGGTGAGATGCCTTTGCCCAAGTTCACAGAACTACAGGAAGGAAACCTGCAGTGATGGAGCAAGTCGTAGGGACTCTGGGAAGAGCACAAGGAGACAACCAGAGGCTGCCTGGATCATCTCAAGATGAGTCCTCTTTTCATCTCTCTTCATGTTCTGATCCAGAAGGTTCAGAAACCATGATGAACAAGTTTAGGAGGAAGGATGAATGAGTAAGGTGGAGAAACAGAAGTCAGATATGCCCTTCTCCCAGGCAGGCAAATAGTGTGTGAACATAGAGAGGCTGTGAGCGAGAAAGAAGAAACAGTTGGTTTTGCCTGTCCCATTGGACAGGAGGTAGAATTTGCTGGACCAAGACTTCTTTGGTTCCTTGAAAGTGTCAAAGACTTATGAAACTTTCCCCAAATCTGAGCCAGTGGCAAGAAAATGATACTTCTGTTGAATAAATTGAAAGTGCCCATGGGAAGTAGACCTGCAGCTGCCCCTTGGTTATCTCCACAAGTTACACTCTGTGTCCTATTGGCTACCTCCGTATTTCTCAGAATAACCCTTGGAGGTGTTATAGAACCTCCTAAATTGGAGTCTGCTCACCTGATGTGCAGCAAGCCAATCATTGACACTGGGACAATAGAAGATAGTGGGAGGTTATTTAAAATGTGCAGAGCAAGGAGTTGCACACTTGAAAACTGTACTGAGGCTCACCTGAAATGAATCATCTTTCTTTTTTCACAGAGTAGATGAGCTTCACAGAGTATGGCTCTTGTCTGTATGTCCAGGGCTGTTGTGATGAGCTCTGTAGGCCCTCTCCCGTGGAATAATCACAACATTCCTATGCTAAGAAGCTCCTTGCCCAGAAATTTTGCTTGCTTGCTTCTGTGGAGATAGTGAATGCCTGCCTCTTAATGCCTTAGGTGAGGAATGCACATTTATGTCCGCATGGAGGAAATAAAGAGGACTCGTTCACACACATTCAATGTGCTTGCTGGTCGTGTCCACGAAGATGGCTGTGAGGTGTGGGCCACTGCTCTGTGCCATCCCCTCAATGTTAACGAGCAGTGCTAGCTTCAGGGGTCCTGGGTGCCCTTCATTCAAGTAGTCACTCCTTTGGGCATGGGCTGGAAACAGCCAAGTAAAGCTAAATATTACATCTCACAGCCTTGATCCTAACTAAAGGAAAATAGAGACAAAAATAAAGTTTTTAACTAGTCTCTCTCTCTCTTTTCACGTCTGGAGGCTTCCATCTTGCTGAGATGACAAAGCTAAAACCAGACTTCAGCCAGTGACTCCAGCTAGGGAGTCATTTCTGATTTTGGCAAATCCTAAAACTGAAAGCTGTTACATCAAGGGCTATTGAAGAAAGGGAATGCACTTAGCTCAGAAACAAACCAAAACTTAGGGAGGCCTGAAAGGCCTGTCAGAAGGACGAGGAGTAAATCTGTTCTCTTTGAACCCAGAGGACAGATCCAAGGTATGGGGTTGAGTTCACACACAAACACACATGGACTCAGTAAAATGGACAACATTTTAGCCTAGGATGACTCATACCTAGAAGTTACTGTGTTCTTTGAAGGCCACCACATAAACAAAACAAGACAAAACAAACAAATACCTCACTAAATGGTCCTGCTTTGCCTCTGCATTGTTATCCACATAGCTCTGAAAAGTAGTTGTTACCTCAAAAGTGAGTCCTAAAGTCCTAAGGAATTGCGCATGGGGCAGAATGCTTTTTTGGAGGACTTTTTTTTTTTTGGAGGAGGGGAGGATTAGTGCTCTGCTTGGTGGCATTCTCACCTCTGAATGGGATGTAGATAAGATTCTAGGTTTCAGAATCATATTATCACTAGTTCCAACCCTAGCTCTGCTGCCTTAGGCAAATTATTTAAACTCTCTAAGCCTTAATATTGCTATTTGGAAAGTGCAAAAATAAAAACCACCAACCTGATAGGGGAGTTTTAAGAATTAAATGCTTTTATTTTCCCTTTTCAATATATCTTTTTTTTTCAAATTTATATAAAGAGAACAGATTTCATAAAATTTTAAGTACATAGTGATACTTCCCACTCCCGTTCCTCCCTTCCTCCCTTCCCTTGCCTTCCCTTCCTTCCCCTTCTCTTCTCTTCCCTTTCCTTTCTTCATTTTAATTTTTGTGATAGCATACTTTCAATACTTTATAGTCGCAGGGTTAACCTTCCATTAAATAAAGAATTCAACAGGTAGAAGGTAGAAAGATCACTGTTCCATAGAAGTATAGACAAATAATCCAATAATAAATAATCCAATAAATCCAATAATCAAGTCTTAAGATGGCAATTTCATCATATACATTATATTTTTTAAAATGATATATCTGTTTGAAGGGCTGAGTTACAGAGAGGGAGTTGGGGAGAGACAGAGAGAGAGAGAGAGAGAGAGAGAGGTGTCTTCCATCCATTGGTTCACTGCACAAAGGCCACAACAGCCAGGGGTGGGCCAAGCCAAAGCTAGGAGCCAGGAGCATCATCCGGGTCTCCCTCATGATACAAGGGCCCAAGCACTTGGGCTGTCTTTTGCTGATTTCCCAGGTGCACTAGTAGGGAGCTGGATGAGAAGTGGAGTAGCTGGGACTTGAACTGGTATCCATATGGGATACCAGTGATGCAGGCCGAAACTTAACCGTTACAGCTCAGCACTGGCCCCTATATTACATTTATTTTGCACTTTTTATTTTAGCTACCAAAAATCAAATAAAATATATGATATTTGTCTTTTGGGTCTGGCTTATTTCACTAAACATAGTGGTCTCCAGTTGCATCCATTTTATTGTAAAAGACAGGATTTCATTCTTTATCCAATCATCAGTTGATGGACATCTGGATTGATTCCATATCTTAGTTGTTGTGAATTGAGCTGCTATAAACATTAAGGTACAGATAACTCATATGATGATTTCATTTTCTTCGGGTAAATTTCCAAAGAATAGGATGGCTGGGTCAAATGGTAGATCTATATTCAGAAATCTACATACTGTCTTCCATAATGGTTCTACTGGTTTATACTCCCGCCAACAGTGTATTAGGATACCTTTCCCCCGACATCCTTGCCAGCATTTATTGTTTGTTGATTTGTGTATGAGAGCCATTCTAACTGGGGTGAGGTGAAAACTCATTGTGGTTTTTATTTGCATTTTTCTAATAGGTAGTGATCCTGATTTCATGTGTCTGTTGGCCATTTGAAGAAATGCCTATTCATCTCCTTTGTCTATTTCTTAACTGCATTGTTTGGTTTGT